TCCCCAAATCCCCCCCCCCCCCATCATGAGCCGACTTCCTTCGCTCGGTCGGGCGCTGGCGGCACATGTGAGCCCGGTGCTGGGCCTCCGCGCTGGGTCGGTGCTGACCGCCGCTCGTGCTGCTGCCTCCTTGCCGGTCTCCCACCCGGTGCGGGAGTTCTCATCGCCAGCTGCTGTGCCGAATGTCGAGCGCATCACTCTGCCCGAGTTGATGCGCGCCAACTCGCTGGCCCCCGCCCCCGAGGGGATCGATTTCCCGTGGTCCCCTCCGGCGGTGGACTTCTTCGAGCGCTTGGTGGCTTCCCCCCCGCCGGCCCTCTCGTCGACTGGGCAGGCATCCTTGCGGGCGTTGATCGAGGCCGACAGCGCGCGCGCAGGGCATCCGCCCCCCGATAGCCCGGCCGGGTGGCTGCGCGTGCCGCTGGACTTCCGCCTGGTCAGTCGCGGAGACAAGGGCGCGTACCAGACCCCCTCTCGGAACTACCTGCGCGGCCCCTGGCGCACTGGTGAGGGCCGCTCCGGTGGCATGCTCTTGCGTATGGCCTTTGCTCCGGCCGAGCTTGACGTTCAGCCGGTGACCGGCCCGGATGCCGAACTATTCGAGACCTCGCCCCCGCTCCTGGGTGGCGGTGTCCTTCGCGGCCTGGTCAAGTTTGGCGAGACATGCGGTGCGTGCGCGCGCGCGCGCACACACACACACACACACACACACACACATGCACTTTGACATGCCACCTTGCGCATTTTCCCCCTCTTCTTTTTCTGACGGCCCTCTCTGCTCCACTTGGCGTCCGGGGCCATGGTTCCTGCGTTTCCCCCAACTAGAGGGCCCCCCAAGCTGCATCCATGGCGGGGCGGTCGCCACACTGCTGGACACGGTTCTCGGTAACACAGTCTGGTTCAGCGGCTACCCCGTGGCCACGGCCAGCTTGAATGTACACTACAAGAAGTTTGTTCCGGGCTTCCTGGACCTTCAAGAGCACTTTAACGAGGCCGGGGGCGCGGAAATGCCCGGCGCCCCGGACCTGCAGGGTGGCGAATATGCCTTCTGGGCGCGCGTCACCTCGGTCGCTGGACGCAAGGTCCACGTAGAGGGCGCGCTATGTGCGATTCCTCTGGCCGGAGCCCCGATTCCCGAGCTGGACCTTGACGGGCCGGACGTCCACTCCACCGGCAGTGGCATGTTCATTCGTCTAAAGGGGATGCCCGCTCCGGCGCTGAAGCGGGCCGCCGTGCAGCAACAGCAGCAGCAGCAGCAGCAGCAGTAGTCGTAATGGTGGTAGCTCACTTACATTTCTCCTCCTCACTTGTCAAATAGAAGCGCGCATTGTGCCATTCAGAAAGCGTGGGGGAAGCAGGAGATCGACGCAATCGATCGAAGGAACAGCAGGTGATGGCTTGAAAGGGGTGTATATACATGGTGACAGGGGATTACAAAAAAAAAAGAGGGGACGCCACGTTTGGAACAAGAGGCAAGGAGGGGAGACGGCGCAGGCCGAGAGGGCTACACCGTGCACACAGGGGTGGCTGACTGGCGCACCTAGCGTGCGCAGTCTAGGAGGAGGGGGGGGAGGAGGGAGGAGGCGGACGCGGAGTGAAGGAGAAAAGGGAAGACGCGACATGATCATAAACTACAAGGGACGGAGAGAGGGGGGAATCTAGAACCCCTCTCGCCAAGATGAGGGGGGGGGAGGGAGGAGAGGAGGAGGGGGGCGAGGGGCCAAGAGTGTGTGCAAGGAACGGCCCCAGGAGGTGAAGGAAGGGGAGGGGATGTGGGGAGACATGGCACAAAGGCCGGGCAGGGTCATCCTCATTTAGATGGAGATGGTCAGCCCCGAGCGCGGATCATAGCAGAAGACCTTGCCTGCTCCCCGATCGGCAAAGTAGAACAGCGCCTTACGCGGGTCATGCAAGTACACGCGCGTCGAGTTCAGCAGGTGGTCACCATTCCGACGAGTGGCTGGTTGTTGGCAGGGGGCAAGGGGGGGG